CTAAAGAAAAAATAACTAAACTTCAAAGTGGAAATTAATATGAATAATGCAAAAGGTTTTGGTTGTAAGGTAGGAGATTTAAAACCCGTCCTTTTGTCTAGGGGGATATAAAAATACACAGAATAATAAGATCAGATATTCCTTTATTTTTTTTGCGTTTTGTTTTTTTTTTGTTTTTCCCACAATGGAAAATGTCAATGTTACGGAGCAGCGAAAGTGGATAGAGAAAGAAAAGAACAGTGTAAAAACAGTAAGAGTAGAAATACTATAATATAATAATACAACACTATGTACAAGAGAAAAAAAAACAGTACACAACAACAGATAACACAAATAGTGCATGGCAGTTGATTCAATACGATTGGCACACGTGATTACAGTAGGTAAATAGGATTTTATATATCTAATAGAATATATATATATCTTTTCTGGGGTCTAATTGTATTTGAATTAGAGTCGTGTTTCCTCTACAGCAGTGTTCAGTGTGGTTTTTTAGTGAGGGAGGTAAGTAACTACTAACTACACACTGCCACTCCTCATCCAACCGCACAACGTCACGCATTTGTTTTCACATGTCACGTGTTCAGGGCCCGCCGGCGGAACGCGCGATCCGATTGGCTGAAAAAAGTTTCCAGTCGTTTTTTAATTCCCGGCCTGTGATTGGCCGTCGGCGGCGTCACTCGATGACGCGCAGCTGTCAGGCTCCGCAGTCCAGTGAGCAGAGGAGTCGGGCGGACGACGACTGAGCGGCGGCACAGGGAGTGTTTTTATGGCCACTAACGTGTTGTATTGAAGAAAACACGAGGTGGTTTTTGTTCGGTTTTTATTCGAGAAGCCGTGAAAATCCGACCGCCGTCTGGATTGTGGACTATGCGTTAACTTTGAAGTGCTAAACGAGACTCTAGCCGTCGAGCGACGTTTGAACTCGCGGATAGTTCGTCTGAAAACACACTCAGCGGAAGTCTAACGAGGATTAACACACAAAAAACAACCACCTCGGGAGACTTGGACTTGGTATTTACGCGAAGAACTACATGAATTTAACGGGGAAACTTACCGGTTGGCAACTTTTGTTCCTCCACAGCGGCGCGGACCGTCGTAGTGGCGGACGTTAACGTCGGCTAACTTTAGCTACAGAGCTAGGCACGTTAGCTGGGCAGCGCAGTTTGACTTCACTACTAACTTTTGTTTTTACGACAGTGACATTCGTACGTTTTGCAACTGGTTGACTATTTTTCAAACACGACGAAGCAGTAAAAAAAAAAAACATAAAAAAAAAAACACACCCGAAATTTAAGGAATTTGTTTTTTGTTTTTTTTTTACGTCGGTAACTTCGGGCTATACTGCGTGCGATGACATGAGTTGTGTTTTGTCTCTTTGCTCCGTGTTTTGAAGATTGTTCCCGTGTTTCCAGAAAACGAGTTCCCTCAACGATGCAGTCTTTGGACACAGTCTAACCCCAATACTGAGCGACCATGTTGGATCATACAGAATAACTCAAGACTTTGGGCAGGAGACGAGATATCAAGTCGTGCGGTTGTGCTCCGTGTTGTTGTGTGTTGTTTTCCCTCCTGTGTGTGTGTGTGTGTGTGCTGATGCGAACAGAAGAGGAAACCTTTCTTTTGACCTGAGGGATACGACAACAGCTGCTCGTCTGAAGTCTTCGTCAGTTTATGCATCAAAATGTCGGCCATCTCCGCATCCGAGAAAGTGGACGGGTTTACGAGAAAGTCCATGAGGAAGGCCCAGAAACAGAGGAAATCCCAGGGCTCCTCTCAGTACCGCACACAGAGCGCTCCGGTCGAGCTGTCCCCGCTGCCGCAGCTCAAAGGTACGGTAAGAGGATGAAGGGGTCTGCAGCTTAAAATAGCCGGTCAGGACCAGTGTGTTTGTGCACTGCTCGATGCGCAGCAGTCACATTCAGCATAGCTGCTCCAAAACTGCAGCAGGCGTACATTAAGTGAAAGCAACGTGTGCAAATGTTGTTTTTTTTAACACAGTTTTACATGCAGTGCTGTAAGTTTTAGGCCCACTATGTTTGAATATGCTATGGGTAGGAAAACACTGGTCAAAAGAGTTGTGGACTCATCTCCAAACGTTTCCTCCTTCTGTTATTAGCTGGTTTAAGAACAGGGGTATGTTGAACAATAACATGATTATATAGATAACATTTTATTTAAAAAAAGAACATGGCTATGCAAAAGTAAAAGTGCATCACGACAGTTTTATGTTCTCACTGTGAAATACTTTAACGGTTGTGTTCACTTTTCTTGCATCGCAGTTTGCTTTGTGCTTGTTTTATAGTTGCAGGGAGGAGAAGCAGAATATCCTCACTGGAGCAGTCGGGCCTTAATTGATCCAGAGGGCTGTTGAGGAAGGGGTTAAGACGGGTTTATGCTTTTCTTAGGGGGGCTGCTTGAGGTTTCTGTATCTCTGCCAGAGATCTCTCCAGAGTTGACCTGTGCCTCAGCAGAAAAAAGTGACCACAGTTTAGAGCTCCGGAGAAACAATGAGTGAAACACAATGTCAGAATGGGTTGCATGTGTTTACCCCCCGTGTGTTGATACTGTGCTGGTAGAAACTGTTGTTAGTGAAAGACAACACCGAGCGTGTTGAAGAAAGGCCCACTAATCTTTCCTCTACAGCTTGACAAGTTTATATTGTGTGATGTTACGAAGCCACATCCAGTACAAACACGCTAAAGTATAACTCAAGTGCCGTGCCAGAGGCCGGATTGCTGGAACACCTCAACGAAGAATCATACAGCTGCTTTAACTCATTCCCATTCATTCTCACTCACCATCCACATCATCCATCCAAGCCCCATACTAAAGCTTACTCCCAGTCCTACAGTTGGTTTTCAACACTGAAAGACTTAAAGGCACCTTGGAAGAAGTAGGGCTGCCGGATTATGGAAAAAAATCATAATCACGATTATTTGGGTCAAAATTGAAATCACGATTATTCAAACGATTATTTTTTTAAACTTC